ATACTACGTATGAGATATAATATTGTTTAAGTATTGGAAAGTCCAAAGCATAATGTCCATTTAATAATTAGTACAGAAAATAATTCTCAATTATCTCAAGTACCTGCTGGCCCTGAGATCCTTCTCCAACAAGATTGGAAGGATCAAAGTGGTTGGTTGCATCCTCCATTTCCTCCTGTGTGAACACATTGTACGGTGGCAATCCTATGGACGCCATCCTCGTCGGCCTTCTCGAGTTCCCTAACCGATAATCCAACACACCATTAGAAACAGGGGCATTGGTAATAAAAAAATCAGCTAATCATTGTTTAAATTTACCTCCATCAAAATGGCTGGATGGGTTAGTGTTGAAGGTGAAACTGCCACTCTTCTCCTGATCTCTTTTTCTAGATACTTTCCTGTAAGTGGCTAAGATCAGGAACCCAATGGCGCTAAAAACTGCCACAATCCCCCCAATCACACCAAGAACTATCCCAAGCTTGATTGTGGAGGATTCATGGTGTTCCTCACCTCTTGAATTTGGATTAACAGCTATTGCCTTCTCAGCACAGAAAGAATGTGCATGCTGATAAAACCTTGATGAGGTTGTATTACCGAGACAGTTCCATAGACTGATAACGGTCCGATTTCCTGAGTTAGATGATCCTTGGAGGCATACTGGGAGCTTCCCTACTAGAAGGTTGTTAGAAATGTCCACAAAGTTAAGGCTTTTGCTGCATGAAACACTACCATGAAGCTCTCCACTGAACTGATTCCTTCCAAGATTTATGTACTTCAATGATGGCAATGAAAACAGAAAAGATGGGATTGACCCAACCAGGTTGTTGGCATAAAGATCCAAAATTTCCATACTTTTCATCTTTTCCATCTCTTCTGGAACTGCAGACCGCAGAGAGTTGTTGCTCAGAACAACTTTAACTAGGTTGCTTCCCAAGGAAGGGAAACCTGGTCCTAGGCTATTCCCACTCAAATCAAGCTCTTCTAGTGCTGACAACCCCTTCAGATCGGGGACACTCCCATTGAAAAAGTTGTCACTCAAAACTAGGGTCTTCAGTTTCTTAAACTTGACTATGGATTCAGGGATGCTTCCATGGATTGGGTTGGAGCTTATGTTTAACACCTCTAGCCCAACAAACCGGCTGACCTTAGTGGGTAAGGTTCCTGTCAACCCAAGGTTTATGAGTGACAGCCTCTTCAAGCTGGAGAGCTTGGTGAGGAGTGTGAAGAATGAATCAATGGAGAATTTCTGTGAGAGAGGAGGGTGGGGGGAAGTTGTGTTTCCAACAATGGTGAGCTCTGTAATGTGATTTCCAGAACAGGTGATCACCAGAGACGGGGTCTGCTGGACAGAGCAGAAGTTTGTCCACTTGTTCCATTCTTGAAGAACTTGTGGATACTCCAGAAGGTCCTGCACCTGGAGAAGTATCCTTCTTTCTGGTGGTGACAACTGCTGTGCAGATGAGAATGGGATTTGCAGAAGAAGAACCCATGATACGAAAAAAGTAAGAACTACCCAAAAATTGCATGGAGACAGTTGAGAAGAGGATTTCATCTTCTTTTTTTGTTCTTTTAGTGATGAATCTCAAGTTCCCATCAAACCTGTATGAGACCAAGCACAGGTTTTGAGAGCTTTTCACTATGGTCTGTGTCAATGTGTCATATATCCAGAAAAAAACGAGTTCAAAAAGAGAGTAAAGTATTTGGTGAACCTATGAGAGAATCTAAAACAGGAAAAGTCTTTGTTTATACTACTGAATAATAAGCCAAAGAAAATAGGGATAATTTTGTGGTATGGAGTTCCTGGGTCCAAACATCCACTGAAGCATAAAGATATTAATGATTTGATCTATTAAAAAAATGGTATACAGACAGGATGGTTCACAGTGATATAATGACATTCAATAAAGTTAGCCAGTGTGAATGAATGTATGAATGTATGTGTGTGTGTACAATATTAATATTAATGGAATAACATAAAATAATGTAAAGCATCCCTCAATTCCATGGTCTGATAGGACCATTGAGGGGTATATAATAGTGACCAGTGGTCCTTTAAGTGTGAATTGTGAGGGTAGGTGTTTGGTGATGACATGGAGTCCATCGGTCCATCCTATTTATTGCATGTAACTCTATCTAAGTATCATTAGTGATTGATTAGCTTTTATTCATCAAGTCATTGCCCCTTTCTCTGGTCATTATTGATGCTAGTAGTTTACTAGATAGTAGATACTGAGTATTGTTTCTTATGTCATGTTTGTTTAGCAACTCCAATGGTAGAGTCTATTTCAAAATATCCATACAACAACAACATCCAAGCCTTAATTTCAAAAGATTTTGGAATTGACTAACATGAGTCGATCCATGATATCGACGCCAAAAAGAGCATTTCAAAATATCCTTATTAAGAAAAAATAGAGAGCCTTTCAAATAAAAATAGAGAGAAAATGGTAATTCGAATTAAAAGTATGGCAAACACAAAAGGGGTATAGAGATAAATCAAGTTTGGGTATTTGATCTCTGAGACTAACAAAATACATTTGTCGATTTTATATGAGACTATAGAAAACAATGGAGTAAAAAAACATTTGAAATTGAAAATTGGAATATATTGAAACATATGGATCCTATGTAAAACACTGTATAAAATTTAGTTTCCATGTATAAAATACGGAGTATCAAACAAAAATGGACTTACGAGAAAGTCTTGGAGTCTATAATTTTGTTCGACGCTTGCTTTGTAGTGCAATTTTAGTTTAACGTTATTACTCCATCCGTGTATGTGTCTTATTTTTTGTTTTGGAATTGTCTCAAAATAAGTAGGTAAACATTATAAAACGTGTATATTTTGGAAATTCATATTGATATGAGTTCAATAACATTTTATAAGTAATAATTTGATTATGTATATTAGTAAAAAATCGTAGTCAAAGTAAATCCGTGATTAAGGCAAAAATCACAATATTGCAAGAATTAAAGAACGAAGTATATAATTGTCATTTTTACTCGATTCAAACTTCAATTATAATTTTCACTTTTCAACAAGTACATGAAATTGTGCGGAGATAGTATTTATTATATTGAATTAAATTGAGGAAAATTACATTTGTACACAAAATTAGTACACAAATTGTACTTAACCCCCTCTAATTGTCTGTATACACAGACAATTCACTTGAAAAATTGAAGAATTTTTATGTCAAAGTGCATGTGTGCACAGACAATGCACAAATTTTGTGTGCAACAAGAATTGTCCAATAACATATACGAAGTACAACTTTCATCTACATAGCTTTTTTAATGAACTCTCACTTATATAATCCACGAGCATTACAATTACACATTTAAAAGAGAATATGAAAGACAACCAAACATATATCAACAAAACAAAAAATGCCGAATAAAAAACCAAGAACATTAAAATGTGTTAGGTATTAGCATAAACAAAATCCACGTGGCCTGTACCAAAACTGGTTGTGTTTATGTTTTTATAAATGGTATAGATAGTGCAGAAAATCATTTTTGGGTCCAAAATTGGATTTACCAAAATACTGTAGACGAGAATTTATAAGCAAAAGAGATGAACTTCGATGAATTGAATGTGAGCTGGAAATTGGGCAATGAGAGAGTGTGTAATTGAAGTTCTCACTTTAAGGTAACATGGGCTTATGGGCCCATTGGGTCTACCACTAATGGATGTGCTGATAATGAATAAACAACGAATTTCCAGGAAAAGGGGAATATAATAATCTGGAAAGGTACGGCGTGTTTGTCCTGGCGGTGCGCTAGCGTATGGACATATTATTACTACGTATTACGAGTATTTTTTATGGGCATAAATTTTAGGCAGATATATTGGACCCTTAGAAATAAATTTTAGGGCAATTCTAAACGCAGCCCGTTCTCTTGTTTAAATACGTTGGATGAATTTTACAAACTTATCCTTGACAAAGATTAATTCTTTCAACTGCTAACGCATAGCCACACTATCTATACTCTGTAAAATGTAAATACGAATATGTTTCCCGGAATCAACTCCGATCCTTAAACGACGCTCAACTATGAAGGTGGACAGACGGAAGCTATGGTTGCGGTGGAGGCGGCTATGGAGGTGGCAAGCCTATTTTAGGAGAGAAAGGTAGTATCAGGGTCGGATCTAGTCTGCTACGAGGTAGATCAGTCCACCCCCGTGTCCTCCAGTTGCTTACCTAGTACCCGCAATCCAGCTTGGCCGTCCTGGCATTCCGCTGCTCGGTAAATACAATTAAAGCCAGCCACCCGATTTAGTTCATCGTCTGGAATACCCTGCCGCCCGGCATGCAGTGCCGCTCTGTTTCAATCGCCGGACATATCCGCCCGGCACGTTACCCCCACTAAGACCCAATCGCCGCCCAGAGGATTTGGAAAAATGTGGCCGTCGGCCCATGCGTGCTCCGTCCAGGGGGTTTATACTCCTAAAAGCAAACAGGGGACAAGAACTTTGCTTCAAAAGAGATGTAGACTAAGAACAAAGAAAAAGAAGTGATAACATGAGAGATGATGGGTTGATGAGCAGTGCCGGTATGGGGAGAGGAAAACGATGGGTTGACAAAGTAGACAGAGGGGAGGAGGAAGACGATGGGTTGATTAGCAGTGCAATTAAATGACTACGGATAAAATAGACATTCTATTTATATTTAATTATTAATTATTTTTTATTAGGGCTGTGAATAACAATTATGTAGCTGTATTTAGAATTACCCTAAATTTTATGTATTTCATAATTGTTCAAGTCTGATTTAGTTTGGCCTGATCTGAGATAAAAAACCATCCAAGTAAAAACATCCCAAGTCATAAAACTCCAATTAAAGAAGTTTTTAATAACTGAAATTAAACACATTTACAAAAATATTATTAATAGTTTCATAGTTACTTAAGCATAAAAATGGAACATAACTATAAGAATATACTCGTGTATTTCAGATGTTTTAACTTTGGATGTTTTGAGTCCAGACCAAACCCGACCAGACTTAAACAAACCAGACAAGACCAGACCAACGAATTTTTGTCCAAGTAAAAACATCCTTGCTACTATAGTTGTAAAATTATACACCCATTTGCACCACATCCATTCTACATTTTTACATAACTAACAACATGTATTGAAACTTCAACACATAAGACCAACTAATAGAGGTTTTCACCATTCTATAGTCCTTTCGGTGGATATATATAGAAAGGGATATATAAAACACAAGCACCTCATTATTGGTTGAGAGCATATGAATCCTCAAGTAAAAGAAGAGAAGTGTTTGCTCAAGTGAGAAAAATGCAATAACTTGCATGACAGCAACTATCATCACTTGAAAATTTCTAATGTAATTATGAGTTTTCTTAAATAAGTAGATTTCCTTCCATACTAATAACAAATGGGCTGAGGGGTCAAGACTCATGAAGGAAGCTGTGTTGGCCAAATTGGATGCACGAAGGGAAAGCAGACTGTTCTGGTTTCAGGCTCTTGAATCTCATGTACCACTTCATATGCATCATTCATCATCAGATTACACTTAAGAACAGTTTTACCCCATACCATAAAAACCACATTGCCATTAGTTGAATGAGGAAAGGGGGCATAGAGCGTCTGATTGTTTGGCCACCGCAGGAATCTCTCATCTCTGTATCTCTTATCGTGAACCAAAACCCATGAAGAATTCAACTTCCACACCTTGAAGTTTAAAACCACTTCTGCTTTCTCAATATATGGCATCAGCACAACTTGTAATAACCTCAGCTCTCCATCTACTGCTCCAATTCGTTGTCTGACAGAACCTCCTGGAAGCGCTTCATACCACCAAAAATCCTGGGGGAAGTCAATAACTACACATGGACTTTCCTTCATATCTTTTGAAATAACCCTATCCACACTATGTATCCACTCCAGCCAATAAAAGATCCCGCTGCATGTCACAACATCTATAACACAACCACAATATGACTGTTTGGGTGGAGGATAAGATACACTTATGGTTTCCCACTTTCCAGACTTTGAACTAAATATTGATATGCATCCCAGATCATGATCAGGGTACTGATCAACATGGAACAGTACCACCTTGAAGTGCTTAAGTCGTTTTTTGTTGTCACACAGTAATGCATGTCCCGCTATAATAAACATGAATGATGAAATTATCACATTTAACCATACATTGTATATGATAACTAATCATTTAATATCATTATATTATAAATATGAATAATACTCGTAATAAAATTTAGCTATATATACAAACATATATAGTCTTTATCTTAATTTACAACTTCATTTCTTTATATATAGGGCTAAAGTTAAAGTAATTATATCGCTTAAAAAATTAAAATTATAAAGTAAAGTAATGTTCGGCGAATCTAGACAACCTAGGTGGATGATTAGGCGCTCTGGGCGGACAACTAGGCGTCATAGATGACCGACTAAGAAGCTGTTCTCTTCACCTGAGCTGAATGTTTCTGATTTGAATTTTTTAAGTTTTGATCTGATCTGATCTGAATTTTTCCGAACTGATCTGATCTGATCAGAATCTTTCTAATCTGATCTGAATGTTTTTGATCTGGTCTGATCTGAATGTTTCTAATCTGATCTGAATCCTTCTGATCTGATCTGAATCTTTCTGATCTGATCTGATTAGAATATTTCTATAATTATAATTACAATTATTATAATTATAATTGTAATTATATTGTAATTACAAATATACTATAAATAAAATTATAATTATAATCATAATTATAAAAAATATAATAATAATTAAAAGTAAATTTAAAATTATAATAATTATACCTAGTACACTAATTATAACTATAGATACAATTATAATTGTAATTATATTTTTAATTATAATTACTTATATAATTATAATTCTAACTATAATTATAATATTTTTTTCTATAATTATAATTCTAATTATAAATACAATTATAATTACACTGCAGAATAATATTAATAATAATAATAATAAACAATACAACAACAATAATAACAATAACAATAATTATAATTATAATTATACTAATAATCATTATATTATAATAAGAACACAATAAAATAGAATAAAATATAATAAGAATATAACAAATGATAATAATAATAATAATACTAATATAATAATAATAATAATAATAATAATAATAATAATAGTAATAATATAATAATATAATGTTGTTGTTGTTATTATTATTATTATATTATATTATTTTTATTACTTAACAATAATAATATAATGTTATAATAATATTATATATTATTATTATTATTATTATTATCATTTTATAATAAATATAATAATATTATTGATATTATAATAATGTTATTATTATAATTTAATATTATAATAATAATAATATTATTATTATTTAATAATAATAATAATGTATTATTATCATTATATTAATATTATTAATGTATTATTATTAATTATTGATTATAATAATAATTATTATAATTAATATATTAATAAAAAACTATAATTCATGTTTGAACTTTTCTAATCTGATCTGATCTGAATGTTTCTGATCTGGTTTGATCTGATCTGAATGCTTCTGATCTGAATCTTTCTGATCCGATCTGATTTGATCTGAATTTTTTTGATCTGATCTGAATAAAATAAGATTAATCAATAAGTAATAAGAATAAGACGAAGAGAACAACTTCTAATTCACCAATTAGAACGACTGGAACGATTTTTAGGCCAGTGCCCCTAATGCAATAAAACGAGTAAATCTATTCGGTGGATATAAGCCAAAATTATCTAGGACAGTGCCCCTGCATATGGACTGCAATGGACTGCAATTTTGAACTTTCAACCACAAAAGCATATGTACTAAACACAAATATGAATTAACAACACAAGTTTGTAGTGGGATATCATCAACAGGTAATTCCTCCAATACAAATATTCTAATAAAAATTTATGAAAGCGGGTAGTTCAATCAATTAAATTCAAGCAGAGTAAAATTCAAAGAGGGGAATCAACCTGAATTTTGGAGCAGTAAAACATCTGGGAAGTCGCTATTGGTTTCAATCCAGCTGAATATAATAATAAATAAATACGTTAAAACTTAAAGGGTTGGTTTCCGAAGTAGATAGAATCGGCAGATTTGAAGTAGCTGAGGAATCCCTTTTGGCAACTGGAAAGGGAATTGGGGCACGATGAGTCCAACACATTTTGTCAGGGAATTAGGGAATTGGGATGATTAGAGATAATTTGAATTTACACTCCATTTTATTGTTTAAACTAGTTTTCAAACCCGTGGGTGCAATGCATGGCTATACGTAATTTAGCTAATTTTAAATTTGATTTTTTCGGGATCATATATAATGTGATGCACAAGCAATATAAACCCAATCTAATATAGAGTCTGTTTAAGAATACTAAAATTGGTCGAATTGACTTATGTTGCTGAAATTGATTAAATTTTAACTGAATGGGCTTATGTAAAGTATATTCCATTTATAAAATAAAGAAAACAATTATATGAAAAATAGTTAAAATAATCTTCTATATAAGCAATCTCAAGTAAACATAATAATTGTTATGGATCCGATTTTAAAGATTTCTGATAAGTCCGTATTTTGACACGTATTTGATGTGTGTTGGGGTCGGATTTTGATGGTTTTCCTAGCTTTAAGGTGTTACAAGTCCCAATTTTAGCTCAAGTTATGTTTACCGGGCGTTGGTTCGAGTTTTGTGTTGTTTGTAGTCAAAATCAGAGAATTTGAGCCTGACACCGGCACTTGAGGAACAATTGGGATGATTTGAGAAGCATTTGAGAATGGTTTAATAGCTTTGGAGGTCACCGGAAGATTCACGATGAAGATTTGAAGGAAAAAGAGCTCTAGGATTGGCTTCGGGATCAAAAGAAGATGAATGAAGCTTGAAAACGACGATCAGAATGACCTTCTGTCAATCGTTCAAGCTTATCTCTTTGTAGGAACAACCAATGGACACGATTCAAGTTGCATAAGAAAGCCAACTTCAAGAGCTACAAATCATATGAAGACACCTTTTCAAGAATCTGAGAGAAAGAAGGTGAAAACAGACGATGAAGTCAGATGATCTCTGCTGCAATTTCAGAAAGACACCTTCCACCGTTTTGATCATATCTCTTGATTGGATGATTCAAATCACATTCGGCAAATTGGGGTGGATAGAGGACTTCATTATCTACAACTTTCATGAAGAAAATTTTGTCAAATTCGGAAGTTAAATAGGCACGATCGTGCCCTCAAAGTCAGACACGATCCTGCGTGAAGAGAAAACACGGAGGAGTTACTGCCAGCCAGACACGATCGTGCCTGGAGGGAGGCACGATCGTCCCTGCCCAAAATGCGCGTTTTTGCTCCGGAGGCGCGATCGAAGGCACGATCGTGCCTGGCATCGTGTCTGGCTCCGAAAATCCTAATTCAGCTCAAATTTCACCCGATTTTTCTATTTAAACAGCCTGTAAACCCCCGTTTTCAAGGGGGGGCTTAGAGAGAGTGCCTAGCACGAATTTTAGAGGGCTTTTCAGCCTTGTTCATCAATCTTTTGGGATTCTTTGTAAGTTCCACCTTTTTAATTAATGACAATTAATTCTTTTTATTCCAATTCTATTGATTCTTCAATTATGAATTGTGAGTAGTTTTAATTAGGGATTTGGGATTGATGAAGGGGTTAATCATGATGTATGGCTAGATTCTTTTCGGTTTAATTGCATGAATGCCGTTTAATTTGTGTTTGAATAATTTAATTGATATCTTTTGTAACCTAGAATCGCGACTAGAATTACAATTGCATGTAGAATGAATTAAGAGAGATCTAATTTGTTCTAGGACACATTCACACACACTTAATCGTTCGCTAAGAGATTAGTAGCGATTAAGGGGCCGTAAGCTTGCTCATCTTGACAATAATTTAGGATCCTGTCGCATGAGAGATCAGCCTGGTCCCCTAAATTATTGTACTCTACGCCGCGAGAGCGGTAAGAACTTAGTAATGATTAGCTAGACTCAATTAAATTAAATTCATGTAATTAGGCCTGATCTGCCAGAAATTTGGTTACCCCGGAATCGATCCCTGTTCCCTTCGTCGTTAATTAGAAAGAACCCCCTAGTTTAATTGTTCGCATTAGTTTTATTTTCCAAACCAACCAATCTCGCACGACGCTTTTATTTTATGTTCTTTTTAATCGCTGAATTTAATTAATTCTTGATTCCCTTTTGTCCGTCCTTGTGGAGACGATACTCGTACTTACACCACTATATTACAATCTTTTTAAGTGCGAGAAAACATTCATCAATTTCATAATCTCACATCTTCTAAATTAGTTTATTATGCACATCAATTTTTTTCTAATATTCCTCATTCAACTTGGTATGAAATACTGAGTACATGCTTTTAACTTTTAATAATAAGAGGTTACATTTTACTCATTATTTCATCACATTGTAAATGTAAAAAATGGAGTTTTTATACAATTTACTCATTATTTTGTTAGATCGAAAACGATTTTTAATTGTTATGAACATCTAAATTATTTCATTGAGCATTTCAAATAATATGTTTCTAATATTTTTCATTCAACTTGGTGTGAAACACGTATTTTTAAATTTTAATTGTGAGATCTTACATTTAACTCACTAATAAGGTCTGGTAGATTAAAGTTTTGGATTTGATTTGTTTGAATTAGTATGGTCTGGTAGATGTCTATTTTACATTTTATATATCTTATTATTATTAAAGTTTAATCTGATCTGATATAGTCTGGAACTGAAATCAATCCAATTAAAAACATTTTATTGAATCAAATTAGGAATTTGTAAACATACAAAAATTTCCTAATTTGGATCAGGAATCTATTTCATATGCAAAGGCTTATTTAAAATGTACTTGTAAAAATAAGGTATTTTTTGCTAGGCTAAACGTATTTACTTGTGAATATATGTTTGTGTGGATGGTATCAACTTTCATTCTTATTACATAATAAAGTAAGCTTTTAAATATAAAAAAGCTTTAATGAATATCTAATAGTATTGGTTACTTTTTTTTTAATTTCAACAGTATGTACATGGTTAAAATTTTCATCATTGTGTTAATAATTAATAAAGAATTGTATAAGATGCAGAAAAAATGAAGTATTTTGTTACCAAAATAAATAAGGTGGATTTCTTGGAACTTTTGTTTCCATATCAATATGCAATCAAAAATAGAATCTAATAAAAATAAAAGGTATAATAATAACTAACAATCAAAAATAGAACTTTTCTTTAATAATTAAGAGCATCTCCAATGCTCTAATGTGCACGGTGCACATGTGGCATGAGTCATAGCCACATAAATATTAGCAAATAAATTATTTCTCTCCTTATTTAAATGATTTTATACAATTTTGGTAAGTTTTTTCCTGCAATGTCAACAACAATGTCAACATTTAGACGGTCTCCTTGACATTGTGGAGAAAAACTTACCAAAACCATATAAAATCATTTAAATAAGGAGAGAAAGAATTTATGTACTAATATTTATGTGGTCATCTCTCATGCCACGTGTGCACCGTGCACGATATAGCATTGGAGATGCTCTAATAAAGAATTGTATAATTTTCATCATTGTGTTAAAATTTTCATCATTGTGTTAATAATTAATAAAGAATTGTATAAGATGCAGAAAAAACGAAGTATTTTGTTACCAAAATAAATAAGGTGGATTTCTTGGAACTTTTGTTTCCATATCAATATGCAATCAAAAATAGAATCTAATAAAAATAAAAGGTATAATAATAACTAATAATCGTTATATATAATGATATGGCAGAATTATGTAGCGCTTTGTATGCTCTTAAAAGTTCCTCTTATATATATATATATATATATATATATATATATATATATATATATATATATATATAAGATGCAGAAAAAACGAAGTATTTTGTTACCAAAATAAATATATATATATATATATACTAGCGTGGGCGCGCGCGTTGCGCGACGGTTGGTGCCCAACGCTCGGTAAAACAAGAAAATTGTACTTTATAAAAAAGATGCATAAATACATCACAAAGAATGATTATGGGAGACCTCTAACATTTCAAACACCCAAATTAAAATCAAAACATAAAAGAGTAGTTCAAGTATTGTAGTTGCATCATTGTCGTTGTTTAGCACCAGTCAACACCTGAAATACCTGAAATATAAGCAAAAGCATGAAAATAGTTGTTCAATAATTCCAGTTACATTAATGATGGGAATCAGACAATTTATAAGAAAACATTATTAGAAATTAAATCCAGCAAAACCAGCTTTATACATTCAAACGAAATTTGGTTTTGTTTTATCTTTTTGAAGGAAAAACAGAATTTTGTAAAGCATGTTATAGGCTAAAATATCTATAGTTCAACAATTATCATGTGGTTAGCTTTTGTTTGGGTAAAAGGCTAAAACAAGTTTGAGTGTAATGAACACACCATTTGTTCCGAGCTACATAGGTAAACATTTTGAAAAAAAACTCACTTCATCTATAAGAACTGTTTAAAAACAGAGAAAGGGTCGCCTTTAACCAAAAAGTTTGTACCTCTACTGGATTTTAACATTAACTATACATGGAATTCATCTGTTATTCATTCCTTGGTTGTTAAATGTTCTTACTCTTTCTACTGACTTTACCAACAAGACCAGTCACAAACCTCTAGCTCTCCCCCTCAATCTCTCTCTTTCTTTATACATATTTTCCTGAATCACGTTCCTTCTTTTTCAATATAATCATTATCTTAATTCTATTGCACAAATAAAAAGGGGGAGGGGTATTTAAAAAGAACATGAAACTACCTCTGAATCCCTTGTGCATATCAGGCAACATGTCAATGGATAGCTCTAGAGATGCAAGTGGGGAAATGGCCCTCTATTGGCTAAGCTTATCATCTTCAAAATAGTGTATTGAAGTTGATGATGATCATTTAGAAATCAGAGCAATTATAATGCTGATTAGCAACAAAACATCCATTATTATCCCAGCAATTGCCATTCCACTCAACTCGGACTTAATGTCCTCCTCCGATTTCTCGTGAGGTACCTGCCCAGAAGGTGGAGGAGGAGCTGGACCAGAAGACCAAGAATTCCCTCTAGTCCTTAAAATAATAAGTTCAAATTCATCATCATGCGAGGGCAAGAATGTAAGTAAGAATAGTTCATTGGAGGTAAAGCATTTACTCACTCTATATTGTTGATGTTTTTTCAACTCATCTGGAATCCATCCTGTGAAGTGGTTGTTTCCTAAATTCCCGCCAGTATATCACTTTCTATGTTAGCTGCCAGTGTACAATAGTTAGGGGCATATAGTTCCATGTTCTTGACCTATATTAATCTTTATTATTCTGTACTTTTTGGGATGTAGCATTTAAATGGTCAAAAGTAAGCAGAATGTTCATAATAATATCACGATCCAAAATATATACCATTGGCAATCTGATTTGGCTTAATCTAGCTCTGCTAATCACCAAAATAATATGAATAAAGGGCTTTTGACTTACATTTATTGATCTGGTAAATTTGTTATCTGTAAAGACCTGGTTGAGGACATGAAACATTAAAAAAATCACTGACATGGCTCTCTTGATCTCATGCCAGATGAGTAAAATCATGGCAAAAAAATCATGGCGTCTTGGAAGAAGCCATCCTGCGAAACAAGATGAGTAAAATAATTATCCGACAATATGATTTTATAATAATATTTCAAGCAACCAAAGTATACAAACAATCTTCTTTGGCTCTAATTATTAAATAAATGTTGAGGAACACAATTATTATCATTGTTTAGAGCAAAACTACATTAACCTACATACCTCTATTAAATGTGTTGCTCCAGATATAGTCAGGTATTCCAAATTCGCATTTTGAACTATTTTCAATATACGGCTATTTGTGAATCTAATTTCTCATTTGCCAATCCGAAAACATTTTTTTGTGCTTCAGCTACCTAGTAAATAAATAAAACATTGAAGGATCAGCAATTTGTGAATACATGCAGGATACACACACAATACAGGCTGAGTAATTAAGATGGAACTCTCCATTTTAACCTTTGGGAATTTCTTGTTAGATATAATAAAGAGATTGTGAAGATCCCTCTGATCAGCAGCTTCTTTGTTTAAGCTTGACAAAAGTATTGCAGCAGCATTTATGACACTGGATGAGGAAGAAATTGCTATAAACTTTTGTAACAATGAAGAGTGAATAGTGTCTCCACCCATGCTGCCCTTATGTAGAAGATATCATGCCTGAAAATCTGTAATTTCTAAAAACCTGATGTCAATGTGTTAAAAAATCTGTAAATTAAAAAGTCAAGTTGAGGATCACCATAAATAAAAGTAGTATAGGATCACTTCAAAACAAAGATGGAAAACCTGGACTGGAGTTCTTGTGAGCAGCATCAATCTATATACACCTTATTTCAAAACAGAAATTGGCATGGGATGGTAAAAAATGACAGAATAAAACGAAAACATATTGTCCAAAACAGGGAAAAAAAGAAGCATTTGAATGAATGAAAAAACATATTTGCCTATGCCACTCTAAAAACAAATTCAGTTTTTTGTTATACACCCACTCGCTCAATGTATTCTTCTGCTTATATTGCAATTTCTTATGAGTCTTAAATCAGTTGTTTGAGTATAAAAAAGATTAAATACATAATCGGAGCATTTAATTTTGTTTTTCATGAACTAATTAGTAATTGGACACATTGGAACTTATGAATAATTCAATGAAAGGAAAGAGGCAGAGAGTACCTCTGTTACTTCGGTAGTTAGAGCATAAAAACCATGTCGGACATCTTTATATATAATGACAGTAAAATATAGGAGCACTGAATCGGAGGGTTCCTATATTTGGTGAAGAGTTGGGTGAGGTAATGTTGCAAACGTAGAGAGGTGAAAAGGATCACACTCATCCCCCAAGTCCCTAGTACAAGTAAAATATGTATGAGTGTAAATGAAGCAACACCTCTCTGTAATTACATTACGAAAGTTAACGTCAGGAAGGAATTGTTAGAAAAAACTTCATAATTTCACATACAGAAAAGAATTAGGAAGAAAGTCTGAAAAACTCTAATTGATTCATTGACCTTTTAGCTAAATAAAGATGTTTGGTCATCCTAGATATTCATTCTGTACTAAATTCCCTTGAAAGCACTTGATTTATGCTATTAAATCAATTCAAACTCAAAGTACAATATGAAATTCAACTCCAAATATGATGTTTGGCAGCCTTAGAAAGTAACCCTAAATGCTTGGCAGCCATACCATTAAATAGAAAGTCCCAAATATAGCGGACCAAGATCCATATTTCACTAAAATTTAAGTAAGCTTTGGCTTATCACTTAAAAATTAGTTATTTAGGTAAACAACTCTTGTTAATCATATCCTATATGACTCTTGGTTTGTTTGGTCAACATCATTTGATTATCCAAACACTCCTTGCTTCAAGGCCCAAAACCATTTTGATGGCCTTGTAAGTCCAAACCAATATTAAGACCCGAGAATGACGATCATTCAAAACATCTTCTTAAGATAGTGTGAAATGCTCTGCTTTGGCAGACACATATCACGACTAGCATAGTTTAAATGGTGGTCATATTGGGAAAGCAATTTAGGCTTATAATTAGTCGGGACTAATAATTACACATATGCAGCAATCAAATATTTAAATAAATAATTTAAAACTAGTGCAGTGATATAGCATGATCCCAAAATCTTCATATCTCTTTGACATCTTCAACCTGTGTAGTAAACTACTAAAAATCTACGGGGTTGAAAAACATTACAGGGGATAGTGGGAAACAGCACGCAGACCGTAAAACAACATAATATAAAACATATATTCAGATCATGCTATACCACCACTTCAAACTGTCCCTGTGACAGAACAAAATAATTGCGCATGCACGGATTGAAAATTAAATTTTAAAATCCGCAAGTAATATGTAATTAATTCGGATCTCATCCGAAAAATAAAATACATATTTAATGAATTCTAAAATAATTCATATTATATATGCACAAATACAGATCATATCCGTAATATAGATTAATACACATATATAACTACGAATAAAAATTAATGAACTAAAATTCGAATTATTTGTATTTTATAAAATAATTATCTATAGATTAATTCGTGATTAAATTCGAATTTCCCAAATAACATATCCGTAATATAGATCAATTCGAATATGTTATAATATGGATCTCATCCCAACTAACTTTGTATTCTCGGATCTCATCTAATTTGGCAGAACACAAAATTTGTATAATTGAAGAATAAATTTGTAAAATTAATTCGGATCTCATCCGAAAAACAAGAAGCTAAAACTTCCAAAATTAAAATAATATTCAGAATATATAAACAGATTTGATTTCCAAATTGAGACATGGAAAATCAGCCGTATTTGAAATCAATAAAAAATTGCATTTTCATGTCCAATTTCAAAAGCAAATCTAAAACTTAATACGTAGCAACTTATTAACTTTTGATATCAAAATCAAAATCAGTCACAATACAGATTGGGAAACCACATTAGGTACGAATACAGTGCCAAAAATACGGAGTATATCGTACCTACGAAAAATAAATTTCCTAATCCAGATCTTAAAATAATGAATGATGTCATAAAATATTCTTAACATTCCCCACTTAAATCAAAGTAGGCAATCAAAAGCTTGGTTCAATCCAGTCGACGTAAAGTGACGTATTGGGCATTTGCTCACTAGTCCTGCGGTCGAGGTTGTAAAGACCAACGCGGCAGCAAAAACTATCCTCATCGTCATCGAATAACGTGAAATATATATGATTGGGTTTGAATATTGATTGATTGCACACACGAACAAAGGAAGACGAATGTTTCCCCAAAAACAAAGCTTGGTCTTCCATAAAGTTATTCACCTTTTTGCTTTTTCCACTCTCAAAGTCAATCTCTTCAACAACAAACACAGACTTGGAACCTTCAAAAAACGGAGGGCTCTCGTCAGGAACATCCAAATCAATGAAGCCAGGGAACTCATTTGTACTACTCTCATATTCACGTTCCCTACTCCAGCAAACAAGCATAAGCCTCCCTTGAGATGATCCAACAATCCAAAAAAAAACGCACATGCTATAGTGGTCATATTTGAATGACCTAGTCCGTGTAGAAAAGGAAGCTGCTCCTCCTTTACTAATTTCAATCTCAAAAACTAGGAACGCAAATGCATCATTACGAGGATATATAGCATAAAATCGACCATTGTGGTATGTCATGTTGGCCCTGGTTGTAAAACCAGGGCCGCCAACATCAGTCCATTCCTGGTCTCCGTTTCTGAAAAAGGCTAATCTCCCCCTCATAGGTTGGGACACATACATAATCATCACTACAAAGTCTGATGTGAGGCCAGGGCTAGCAGATAAGGCGAACCCAACGACTTGTGGCCGGATACCAACAGGTGGAGGACTAAAAGGACGCGGCAGAACAACTTTTTGAAGAGAAAAGGGGTTCAGAAGAGTGAGCTGACTTAAACAACCTTCGAAGATTAAGAACCATCCTTTTGAAGAAAGGTGATATCTGTTTTCCCTGAAGGGAGAAACGGGAGCTACTGGATTCTCGAGAATGTTATCGATGGGTAAGTTGATCCTGTAGATCCTGTTTCCCGAAAGGTCGGCGAACTCACGAACCCTGTTGCCGCTGCCGTCACAGGGTTTTATAGTAAAGTCAGAGGTTCTAGTGCTGCTGCCGCCACTGCTTTTTACTACTCTTTCTGCAACTAGAAGCCATGGAACTTTGGCTGATCTGTTCCAATTCTCCTTGCTTGCTATTGATCGCCAATCCTTACACACCGCGCCAAAGGTGACAAAAGCTTGCAGGCAATTGATTCGCGTCGCAATTATCGACCATAGATCGGTGCCCAGATCTGACCAATTCACCCGCACCGCCACCCCTTTCTTCGATTCCATCAGCACACACCGTTCCTTTCCTTGTACGAGTGTAATACCCTGGGCAATGCCCCGGTGGTGTTATTATATGTAGAGAAATTTGTTGATTTAGTCCCGTAACTTATAGCTATACCCGATATTGGTCCTGTAACTTTATTAACTTGCAGATTACATCCCGTAACTATGAGGAGCCTTTTATTTTTAGCCTTCAACTTTACAACCTCTTCCTCTTTTGAATTGAGTCTTCTAACCAATCCCGGAATTATGATCGTTCAACGATGGGACATAGGTGGGTCCGCCCATTCAAAAAATCTACAACCTTCTGTCTGTATCAAAACAATTAAGATGAAGCTTAACTTACTTTTTACTGTTTTGAACACAAAAATACATTATCAAATTCCCCCAACAAATAGAATATGGTAATTTTATTAGCAGAACCTAGCTTAAATTATAAAATACATTTTAATTTTCAAACAAATTTATTATTCAAATGCTATTCTTAAATTTCTAGTTTATTTAGTAAAAAAAGAAGCAAACAATGTAAATTAAAAAGCTGAACTTCTTACTCTACTTCTAGCGCACACACGAAACCTCCTTCCAGGATCGTTATAGTCCAAGAAGTTAGAAGAGAAACCTTTTTACCACAATCACACTCCATACACTTTTGTTTGATCGAGAGCCGTTACTAGCAGATTTGAAGAATAACTCACTCTCTCGACTTAGTTCAGGAGAAATCTTCAGGTAGAGTTATATGTTCTTCCCCCTTTTGCAGATCCGATAATAGGCTTGGTATGGTTGTGCACGCACTTAGCGAAGAGCTTTCGTACTCTGGTTTTTTAACTCCACCTAAGAGCCAATATTGAGTCAGCAAATGAGTTCCAAATAATATACCATGTGGCAGGTGATGTGTCTTTTTCTGACGAAATTGATAAGTTCCGGCAGAGAAGGACCAAAATTGCACCAACTTATTAGTTACGGGATGTAAATTGCAAGTTAATAAAGTTACAGGACCAATATCGGATATAGCTATAAGTTATGGGATTGAATCAACAAATTTCCCTTATATGTATTGAATTAGGGAGTCGTAAATAACTAAATTTGGATAGTTTTTATTTAAGAAATAAGCGAGAATCCTGTTATATACTTAAATAAGTATATAATAGGTACCGCATTATATTTAAGATGTTTTTACTTGGACTGTAATTGCTCCAAACCAGACCAGATCAGTTCAGACTAGATCAGATCAGACCAGACTTGGATAGTTATAAAAATACAAAGAAACCAGACCTTACCAGATCAGACTAGACCAGTTCAGACCAGACCAGACCAGATCAGACCAGACCAGCAAATTACAGTCCAAGTAAAAACATCCTTAATTTTATATTATTCACATGTTCTACTAATCTACTTAATTTGATGATGTTTTTATTTATTAATGTGTTAATAATTTTTTTATAAAAACATTGTTAAATTTGTATCATTTTAAATTTTCAAAATCTTATGTTTTTATTTTTTTTTCTAATAAAAAGTTACATATATTAATAATCAAAGTTATGCATCGAAAAATGTAAAAATGAATTGACGAGTTTGTTTAAAAACGGAGGAAGTATAAAAGGAGAAAAAGTAAATCATTTTCTTATCCACAAAAAGGTCAAAAGTGAGTTAAAGGAGGTCAAGCGTGTAACAACCATTTTATTATTTTTAATGTTAAGTTCTATTTATTTTTTTAAATATTTATTGAATTTTATGGCCGTTCAAGTTCTCACAAATTCTTTGAATTTTGCTCGGTTAACAATGAAAGCAATCGTCTTCGATTACAGTGAATTCCTACATTGAATAATCTATACGTTTTCAATATATTCATGCACCTTAATATAAAAAGGAATACATGTACATATTGCAAACGTCCCATGGCAATTGGCAAGCTTCAATATTAAGGGAGTGTTAGCGATCGCTTTTACTTTAAAAATGATTTTTAAAGTTATTTTAGAACAAATGTGAAATATTATTAAAAGTTGGTAGTGTGAGATTTTTTCAAAGTAAAATTTGGTAGCTACGTGTAAGAAAAAAGTGTTTTTGAAGAGTAAAAGTTTAGTAATTTTTGGTAAAAATATTTCTGAAAAAAAAGAATGAAAAGACGGTTTAAAGCACCTCCCAATAGGCATCCAACTTTTAACTTGTAATTGCTGAATTTTGACAGAAATTATCACCTGAAAACACTCATTTCAATTGTAATTTTTTAAAGACAAAAACTGAAAAACATTTTTTTAAAGTTATTGCAAACACTCTTTAATAAATATACATTTTCTACTATGTTATGTTTGGTTATATTAATTTAACTGATTATGATTCTGCTCTATACTTTGTAGCTAAATTACAATATTTAAGATGCAAAAAATGACTAAATGGCAAAAGTGCATCATAATATGTGTAATATATCTAGAGCTCATTTTGTAGCTCCTCTTTTACAGTTTTTAGTATTATTAGTTATATTTTTATCAAATAAATCTAGAGCCTATTTTGTAACTTTTTATTTGCATACTAAATTGCGTGATAATCAAAATAGGTAGGGTTAACGTTATTTTTATTACTTAATTAGCTGGAACTTTCGAAAAGGACTATTTAAGCTATTTTTCATCTAATTGACTGAAACATCGTTTAAAACATTTTTTTTGTGACTGGACTTCAATACTTGAATGTTAAGGATGTTTTTACTTAGACTGTAATTTGACCCAGACCAGAACAAACAAGATCAGACCAGATCAGACCAGACCAAACTTGGGTAGTTATAAAAATATAAAGAAACCGGACCAGACCAAACTTAGGTAGTTATAAAAATACAAAGAAATCAAACCAGACCAGACCAGGTCAGTCCAAGTAAAAACGTCTTAAATGCCAAGTCCTTGACTAAGATGAGTTTCAAACTTGTGACCTCCTCCTTGGGAGTGTTACAGTAATATCATTGAATATCATAATATATCATTTTCATTTACCTCAGTGCCACAAAGGTTCCCCCACCTACGGTGGGGTCCCATAATATTCATAATATTGTTATAAAATCATCTAGAAGGTATTTGTAGTACTTATCTAGAATTGTCAGCTAATTAAATGTCATGGAGAAGAGTCCTACAATTACTAAGCTTTTTCCCTGACGGATTATTTGTAGTATTTATAGAAATTACTTCAAATAGGACTAAAATTATGGCAAAAACTCAAAATAGGACTTGCTATGTTTTTATTCCAAAATAGGACCATAGTGGTCCTATTGGAAACATACCCATTTCTTCCTTCCATTCTTACCCCTCCTTTAAATATTAGCAAAAGATAGCTAAAAGTCATAATTAAATGTTTAATTCATAATAAATTCGAAAAAATTTCAATAATTCGTAGAAAAATAATAAAAAAATTAATAAAATTTTTATAAAATAAAAAACAAGGAAAAAAATTTATTTTTTTTTGAAAATTAATAAAAATAGTAAAACTCCATAAAAAAATTAAAAAAAAATATGGATACCTTTCCCACCGCCTGTACTACTTCCCTGAACCATCACCTCCGATCGGTGTAAAAAATGCCACTTTTTTTTTAAATTCCACAAAATAGCATATTTCTCTATGAGAATGCCAACATTTTCATTCTGCCAACTTGAATCCTTTTGACTTTTGCCAAAAATATGGCATTCATAATTTTTTTGGCATTTTTTTACCCTGGTGATAGGAGGTGGTGGTACCGTCTCCCTACACCACCACCTCGGACCGTTAAAAAAATGCCATATTTTCTATAAACTTCCATTTTTTTCGGAAAATGCCAAAAATATGGCATATTTGTCTTTGACAACGCCAACATTTTTTTTCTTCCATCTTAAATCATTCTGAATTATGCCAAAAATATGGAATTCATAATAAATTTGGCTTTTTTCCCCAAATGACTAGAGGTGGTGGTGCTGGGGCGGCAGAGGCGGCGGTGACAATTTTTTTTTTTTTGATGTTTTTTAATTTTTTTTAATTTTTTTATTAAAATTTATTATTATTCAAAATATTTTTATTAATTTTTTCGTATATTTTACGAATTTTTATTATTTTTTATTATTTTATTATGAATTAAAACATTCCAATAGGTATAAGGGTATATTTGTCCAAGACACACATAATTAGTCCTATGGAATCATAGTTTATTTTTTTGTCCTATTTGTGCAATGTGAATGACTTTTAGTCCTGTTTTGATAATTAACTCTAGTATTTATCCAGAACTATCAATTAATTACATGTGATTTACATCTTAAATGATGTTAAGGAGAAGAATTCGCAACTACTCCATTATAAGTTAGCACGTTTTCCTAAAGGATTGTTAAATTAATTAAATGTTATAAAAGTGATGTTAATTATTATATCTGTTAGCCAATCATAGAGTGACACATCATTGTTTCAATACTCAGTTTTACTATATAAAACAATAGATTCTACTCGTTCGTAATGGTGCGCCTGTCGGATCCGTATATTTCTCAAGCTTGACGCATATTTCCGGTTGTATTTAGGACACCGTTTTTAATTGGATTGTTTTCGCCATATAAGTAGTTTTCCAAATTTTTACCCTCCTTTTTGTCTCCCCGGTAAGGATGGCAACCAGACGGATGGGATCGGATATGTTCAGACCTAGGGTTGGGCATATCTCTCTTCGGTTCGGTTTTATTGGTTTCGATTCGGTTCGGTTTAGAACGGGTTATGAAAATTAGTACCAAACAAAAACTATACGAAGTACTATTTTTCGGTTTGGTTTGGTTTCATTCGGTTCGGTGTGGATATTTTATTTTTTAATAAAATATGAAGGATTTTTTGAATTTCTTTTGTTCAGTTCAATTTTATCGGTTTCGGTTCGGTTCGATTTAATACGGTTTGGAAGAAATACTACCAAACTCAAACCAAATTGCATACGGTCCGGTTTCGGTTCAAGTTAGATCGGTTTGGTACGGTTCGGTTAAACCAAACCATTTTGCTCTCCCCTATTCACACATGTACCCATCTTGTTAGTGAAATATTTTTCCCGAAGTTGTCATGTTCCCCGTTGAAGAATTTTTCTCCTGAATTGCACCTGGTCGACACAGGAAACAGTTTTCTCTGAATCCCCGTGGGTGACCATATTGCTGCCTCCGTCCTTTAACACTTCATCATCTTTTTTTAGGACGTTCCAAATAATTTTGTCACTTTTCTTTTTAATCAATTATTTTGTGGTTTCTTTTATTTCTTCTTCATCAGCACAAATCTCAACCACACAACTTTTACTTTATTATTCTCTGTGCCAGCCAAACTTGGCAAAATTTTAATGGACAGACGTAATATTAAAAAAATAAGTTTATTCTTCCCAAGTAGTATCACTAACATACAAATCATATCAAATCTTATTACAACAAAGATTTGACTTTGCACTCCATATCTGATCTGGTTTGGTCTGATCTGGTTTGGTCCGGTCTGATCTGGTCTGGTCTGATCTGGTAGACGTCTGGTCTCTGTGTATTTTATAATTATGGAAATCTGGTCTGATCTGATCTGGTTTGGTCTGATCTGGTCTGGTCTTGGATTGAAAAAAGTCAAAAGAAAACATCCTAACTTTCTCTCATTGATCTGGTTGAGACTTGAAAAATAGTCTAAAAAACATCCTTCCTCCTTGTCCGACTCATCGGCTTAGTCTCCCAAAGCTCTAGGATCTGATCAAAAGAGAAGTCTAAAGAGGCTTAACCACTTCAAATCTGTGTGATTGTGATTTAAGTTGAAAATAATGATATCCCATACGCTTCATTGCTCGAAAATTCAGGTCATTTACACACGTTTTTCCTTTGCTCTTTTATCAATTAATTTATTGAGTTGTTCCCGATTTTAAGTGAAAAGTTTTGATTGTTACCTGATTTCATATTTCCAAGATTGAGTATGTTGTATCGAGAAAATTACCGGTTGATGAAATTCAACAAGAAAGATGTGTTTTTGTAGTTATAACTATTGCTATATCAGTTTGCTTCTGTGATTCAATGAAATTATAGCTTCTATTTCCTTCGTCTTACATCCAAACAATGGAATTTCGCGTCTCATTGCATTAGACTGACTTTGTTATTATCTGAATGTTATTTACGGGGTTACAAATTTCAGTCATTCTAACTCTATTGTTTAATCTCAAAACCGATTTCTTTTGCACTAATTGATGAAAGAAAATCTTATATTTTAAAGTCCTACGGGTTTGAATGGATTTCGTGTTTAAAGCTGGATTATTTTCCACTGAGGAATTAACCAGTTGATGAAGAGCTACTATATCCAAAAGTTGGAGGGGCAGTCTTTCATGAAATAAAAGCTTCAATTAAGTTTGTTTTTTGTTGTTCTGTGTTTGGACTAAGGCTATGATGTTGTTGTTGTTGTGTTTGGACTATTTATCATCAATAGAAAATTTTGCTAGTAGTTCTAACTTATATGTGATATAGTATTTCCAGGGAAAGAAAGTGAAGCTGGGAGATGATCCAAATAATGAATCAGTAGCACCTAACATTTTGAAGGAAGCCAATAATGACATATTATTGGAGATATTTCTTCGTCTTCGCAATTGTCGATCTGCTATCCTATGTGGGGTCGTCTCTCCCCGTTGGCATTCTTTGATATCTCACTGTCACTTCATTCGAAGATTCATTGCCCAACATCAGGAGCTCCCGGACCGCTATCCGTTGCCCTACACCATCATATTTCATAAAGCTGAGAAAAATAACTCGTTAGTGCCCCCATATTTTAATCCCATTTGCAGGTTATTATCTAAAGAGTCAAATTTTCTCCATCACCATGAAGAGGCGGCTGCAACATGCAGTAGTAGTAGTTCCTATTTGGACTTCTTGCCTTCACCAGTGACAATAAGAGCATCATGTAATGACTTGTTGCTTGTGTCCCCTGGTCCACGTTGTTCGGATGTTCTCTATGTTTGCAATCCAACCACGAAAGAATTTTATCAGCTACCTAAGGACCACAAAATATTTGATCATTCCAATGTTGGGCATGCACTAGTAATTGGTAATAGCGAAAAACAATCTAACCACCACTTCAAGGTAGTAATATTCCGTCATCCCCACCCTTATTCAGAACACCCTGATACCCTCCAGACTATGGCAGTATTTTGTTCAAAGTCTGGAAAGTGGAAGAAGAGAAACACTTTGTATCCTACACCAATGGTGCCATGTTTCTGCTCTGCTCTAGATGTGGTGACATGCAATGAAATTTTATTTTGGCTGGAGTGCACACAGGATGTGAACAGAGTTATTTCATCAGATTTGCGGGAAAGACGATGTGGTGTCATCGACTTCCCTAACGATTTTTGGTGGTTTAGATTGCAGCAAAATTCATCTGTCCGTCGTGTCAAACAACAAATTGGAGCAGTGGATGGAGAGTTGAGGTTATTACAAGTTGTGCTGTTGACATGCACAAACAAGAAAAAAGTGACTGTTAATTTGAAGGTTTGGAAATTGAGTTCTTCATGGGTTTTGGTTCACGATAAGAGGTACCCGAAAAGGCCGAACCATGAGAAGCTGTTAGTTGCGCCTCCATTTCTTCATCCAACCAATGGCGATGTGGTTTTTGTGGTATGGGGTAAAAGTATTTTTCAGTATAGTCTTATGGAGGATGTGTGTGAATTGATTCATGAGCTTCAAGAGCCCGTAAACTTAAAAACAACAAGGGTGATATCATTTCCTCTTGTCCATCCAATTTGGCCAACAAAGCTTCCTTCTATGATGTCTTTCTCATATTAGTATTGCTTGAGTTTCAACCATCATATTTATCATTGTTAGTACTTAGTATGGATAGAAACCTGATTCTTCCGTTACTGCAGGATGGATAATGCTTAACAATGAAACTAATTTTTAAAGGTGATTTTGTGCTCATTCAAATTATTGCATTTTTCTTACCCAAACAAACATATTTTTTGTGAGTGGATTTCGATCTGATCTTAACCCATGGTTTTGATGTCTATATGTATGCACATTGTACTCTAATAGAATGGTGTAAATGTCCACGAGTTTGTCTTGTTGTACAGAGTACAGGATCCTTCATAGATCGCATTCTTTGTGGGATTTCTGTTGTGTAGTTTGAAATATTAATATAGATTTTTTTTAATTATAGTATAGAGTAAGGTATCTAAAACTCTAAAAGCATTACTCCATGCTTTTTGCTGCATTTAGCCTGCTTGTGATTACGTTTTCCATAGTATGATAGTAGGGACATTTGAAAATTTTGTCCCTGAAATTAGATTCGCTTATTCCATTTCTTGTCCCTACTGCATTCACATAGGTTATCCTTGTTTATAATCAACTGAAAATTAATAGAACTAGTTCCTTGTTTCAAGGTTTAGATGTCAACATACAAATTCAAAAATTTATAGGCATCTCCTTCTCCAATGCAAATTGAATTTTCAAACAAGTCCACGAGTGCCTATCATTATCAACATTGATAACACTTTGTCTATGGAAGGATTAACAGAATGTTGAGTCCGTAACAACAAAATTACCCTATTGCTGCAAAAGCCCCCCACCTATGATAGGGACATAGGGTAAGAGAGTCGGATGTACGTAGTCTTAATTTTATGCTAAAGCACAAAGAGACGGTCTAACGCGTTCCAGATGACCCATGAAAATAAAATGACATAATATAAAATGTCAAAGGACCCTTCTGCGAACGTGTTCCCTTTCAAGTCTAACGCGTTCCAAATGACCCATGAAAATAAAATGACATAATATAAAATGTCAAAGGACCCTTCTGCTAACGTGTTCCCTTTCAAGTCAATCGTTTTGTTCCATTGCACGTGGGTTGATCTGATATGAGGTGAAAAATTGAAATGTAATACGTAGTATAATTGACGTCAACCACTCCCGAGTGTATCAGAAAAATTAGCCTTCTATAATCACTCAACTAGTTGCTCAAAATGAGTCTTTTGTATTTTTATTAAAAAGAGCCGGGGAACATCTTTCAAAGCCAAATGACTCTGATTTTATTCTTCAAATCGAATACATAATTATTTGTATTGTATTTGAAAGACATTTGAACCAAAAATTTGATTTGTAGTATTCGTATTTATATTCTTATTTATTACAAATGGGCTTGGAATCTGTATGCATAAATGTATATATGGGCTACACTTTGAGGGCATTGCTATTTTTAAAAGTTATTATAGTGTTATTACTATTATTATTATTATTATTATTATTATTACCATTATTATTAATCGAATATATTTGATTAATATTCGAATCGAATACACTGATATTCTTATTTGTATTTGATAACAACTCAAATCAAATTTAATATTCTTATCTGTATTTGTATTTGAATTTTCCGAATTCGAATCACGAATCGAGCACAAATTATTTGATTCGTTTACAACCCTATTTGCACCACAACACATACCATTTTGTGAAGAAAAATTTCTAAATAGGGTGCAAAGTCAAAGGAATTTTAAGCGAAATGAGGTGCAAAATAAAAGTTTTTTCAAAATGGGTGCAAAGTCCAATATCACTCAAAAAGTGGGGTGCAAATTCAGATTCCCCCTAATTTCAATCCAAATATGTAAGTTGTTCTTTGATGTACTATCAACCTCCTCTCCATATTTAATACGTAGTACAAAACTACAAATATATTTTATGACACAAAAATGTGACCCTCAAAATTATATTTATCATCATATTTCCAACAATGTCATCCAAACTATGGTCTACGGCAATATTTTGTTCAAAGTCTATCTAGAAAGTGGAATTTTTTTTTGTGTCCTTTACAGTTGTGTTGTGTTGTCCTTTACATTTTCATTTATCTTTCTTTGGAAAAAAAGAAACTGTCAGGTTTGTGTTGTGCTCTAACATTTACAGTTGCAGAGTGTATTCTAAAAGTACTATGAAGTATTTGCTAGGCCATGGATTTCACATCAGAGCCTAAAACATCTATGCAGGAGATGAGTCTAAGCCACCCGATCCAGATTACTCAGACGTTGAAGGCGTTGATCGCTTACTGATTTTTACATCGAACCAATTTGCATCATCTGTGGGCCTCTCATAGAAAAGGATTTCTGTGCCTTCAAAGAACTCCAAGAATAGGGAAGCATCCAAGGTGGATTCTTTTTCTGAAAAGACTCTCCCATCACTTCTTCTTCTAACTTTTAGAGCTTTGCCTTGGGTTCCCCCCTTCACTAGATAGATGTTCATAGCTTCATTTGGCTGCACAGTTATTGCCCTTCCCAGTGCAGTTGGAATTTCAATTGATCCTGTTTGTTCTTCGTAAGCAGTTATTATTTTACGACATATCAATTTCCTAGGCTCTTCTTCACCAGAATCACCTTCTCCTTCGCTTTTATCACTGTCTTCTCCGTTTTCATCCCCTTCTCCGTTTCCTTCTTCTTCTGAGTTTCCTCCTGCATTTCCTCCTTCTGCATTGCCTCCTGCATTCCCTCCTTCTCCCTTTCCTTCTGCATTTCCTTCTTCTGAGTTTCCTTCTGCTGCCTTTCCTTCCTCGTTTCCTTCTGCTGCCTTTCCTTCCTCATTTCCTTTTGCTGACTTTCCTTCCTCATTTCCTTCTGCTGCCTTTCCTTCCTCGTTTCCTTCTGCTGCCTTTCCTTCCTCATTTCCTTCTTCTGCCTTCCCTTCTTGTGCCTTTCCTTCCTCTGCCTTCCCTTCTTGTGCCTTTCCTTCTATGTTCGATATATCAAGGTAGACAGCTTGACAGTAATCCACATTCCACTTCAAATGATCTGTGACAAATTTTAACTATTTAATAAAAAGGGGATGATTACGAATAGGTTTGGGTACTAAACTGAGAACAATCATAACACAATAATAATGTGAAGCAAGTGTTAAAATATAGGCAACAATTCAACACTATAAAATCATGTAACAAATAAGCGGCAAAGTTTAACTATTTTAGTCAGGGGGGGGGGGGGAATCATTGCCAATGGGGTTTAAATTGAAGGGAATTTTTCTTTTTGTACTAAACAAAGAACATTCTGAACACCATAATGTCCGTCATGGGAGCTCATCACGGTAAAACTCCCCGGAAGATGTACTCAAAGCAAACTTCAATCCGCGTGGTGGGGTAAAAGGGTTATTGACTAAACTGCAGTCCTTACGAGAGGCATGAGGGTTGTTGAAAAAAGGGTTTTAAACCGAAGGGTAAAACCTCAGTATTAGACAAAGAACAATCTGAGCGCCATAATTTGTGGTTTGTTCTTGATGAAGTCATTGCCAATGGATTTTCAATGGAAGGATAAAACCTTAATACTAAAAGGAGAATAAATCTGAACACCATAATGTTTGGCTGTTCTTGATTAAATCATTGCCGTAAGGGTTTTAAATAGAAGGGTAAAAGCTTATTACTAAACATAGAACAATCTGAACAAGAAATCACTTTCAATGTTATTCCAAAATGCACAAGAAAGAAGATGAGATTTCAGTGCAAAAGAAATGTGTTGGGCATAAACAATATGACAAAGTAAACCATCATATATGTACAGCGTTCACTACTACACCGTACAGCCTTGGAGAAAGATAAATGCACCGATTACGGATACAAGAAATTGCAAGTGTAGCGATGTACCATTGGCAATCTGAGCTGTGCAGCGGACATCAATGCAGTGATCGGACGTGTCTGGGGAGAGAAGCCACACGGATTCAAGGTCGAGTTCATGGAGCGGTAGAGCTGAGCCAGAAACTCGGACAATCCAGTTGCCGAGGCTCAACGGCCTTCCGTCCGGCGATGCGCCAATCAAGCCTTGCCCTCCCATTACAACGCACGTTCTAAGCCGATTTTGATCTGCCGCCATTGTTTTCACTCTTCTTGGCTATGAACAAACTAACAACCATGAGAGATCGAGAGAGAGAAGAGGTTTAGGGTATAAAGAGCGCAGAGTAAAATGAAGATTTGGCTTTCGTTCGTGGAAAAACAATCATAAGGAGCGGTGGAAATGAGAACCCTTTGGTTTTGGCGGGTGCAGGGGATAGCTGATACTCATTTGAAATAAGATGGTTTTGGTTGGTTTTTTTTTACTGCGGGTTAGACTTTCAAAGTAGCTTGGTTCAATTCAGTTCGGTCATGCTCGCGGGTTTGATCCGTTAGGTTGGGTCGGGTTTTGGCGAGAACCGTAAAAAACCGGAAGCATTTGGGCTCTTCCTTTTAGGGCCCTGTCAAAGGACCAATTCTGATTTTGAGCTCAGTTCGACTAAAGTTAATCCATAATTTTTTTTGGAAGAAATAGGCTTAAATTGATAACACATCATTTAGATAGTAGGTAATCCGACAAAAAGAATCTTGACAATCGTTGTCCCTCGAGCCAGACTCAGAGCTAATCACCTCAACAAAAGCAATATAACTCACTGCACTCTTAACGGGCACAACTGAGCCATAGACGGTTACCCCATTCCTTTCATCACCCACATGGCCACATCCAAACAGGGGCGGATCTAGCATTTGGATTGAGGTAGGGACAAATTTAATTAAAAAACGTACTATGTATAATGCAAAAAATGCCAAACTGACAAAATGTAGTTAAATAATATTACGGAAATGTCAAAGAAAAAATATAAATATTACATAACCAATAATTTAATTTCTTTAAAGCCATAGATATCGAACCGAAATTCGCTCAGTTATTGAAATGTATAGTACCAATTTTCAGTCTAATTCTTGGAAACCAATTTTCTTTTGACTCTATGTAAAACAAATGAACTAATTAAATATCACCAACCAAGCACAATGAATTGAACATATTAATTTTTCAGACCAATATTCAAAAGTCTAATGAGTTGAATTAATAAATTTTCAGACTAATATTAAAAACCCAATGAATTGAACTAATAAATTTTCAGCCCAATATTTAAAAGTCCAATAAAATGAACTAATTAATTTTTCGGTCCAATATTCAAAAGTCAAACGAGATTTTGGTAAGAAATTTATAAAATTTGAAAAAACTAAGTTGAAAAACTACTAGATTGCACTGAAAAATTATAAAGGGCGTCCCTGGAATTCAAACCTGTAACATTATGCTGCTCTACACGCCTAGTTTAACACCATCACACATTCACACCAATATGATTTTTGTTTACAATTCGTCGCTAATTGATATTATACTATAACTACGGAAACCCTATATATTAATTTATATATAATGTACTAGTTTTCTGACGCGCGACGCGCGAGGGTAAAATGCCCAATTGACAATTTGAAATTACACACAAATTTTATGCATAACATTTTTCCATAATCACATTGTTAAAAGGAGGAATGTTATGAATACCACGATAACAACTTTTTATGTTTCAATGTTGCATGCAAATCTAACTGGGTGCACATTTGAAAATGAGCACGTCACAACAATTTTAAAGCAACAACAAAAATAGCACGTCATAAAATTCCCCATTTAGGCCTACTTACAAATACTTAGTATGCTACAAGGAAATTTAATTTTCTCAATCAAATTAAATATACTTACATGTATAGATGTACTCAAATCTCATGAGAGTATTAGTTTGATACTTATTTACTTGGGATGTGACACAATCATGTGTGGCAGTACCACCTCCATATATGACACTTGCCGGCCAATTCAAATAAAATATGCGTACATGGGGTTGCTGATTCTCAATCACATATAAATCAGAATTGAAGAAGTTTTACACTATAATTAAAGTGCTTAGTAAACTTTTTGCGGGCACAAGCTCTTGATATTTTTATCTTGTTAATTATTCATGCTAGGCTTACCACTATCCATATGAAATGAAATAAAATAACTTTAATTAAATACCTATTTGTGAAATACATGCATATAGTCGATCAAAGTGAGGCATAATATACCGTCAGAAAAAAAAAATTAAATGCATTTCAAAATGAATGGGAATGCTAATAACTCATGAAACTCAAAACAGAAGTGCACAACAAAATGCAGAGGCACAAACTTCTTACTCACCAAAGATTACACTTGGTCTAATTTTCATATGAACCAATAATAATTTAACCAACTTGAAATAGAACAAATAAACTATTAAAGTGCATACACCAACCAGTACATGCAAATTAAAAAACAACTAAGTGCATATACAACACTATGTTCTCCAAAAAATAAAATTGTGATGGATAATAGAGCATTACTTGAAACCCCCTTTTAATTTTATGTTTTTAGTGTATATGTTTTTATGTTTCCTGTGATTTTTACAAGCTGGCTATTATATTCAAATGGAATATCCAAAAAACAATTGAGTACATATATAAACTATGCTCTTAAAAAGAAACATTTTGTGGTGATTATTAAAACATTAGGTGAAACTCTTTTCATATTTATTTTTTTAGTAAAAAAATGATACTTTGCCTAATAGAGTGGTTGAGTTTAATCCAACACGATATAATAAATATATGTATAAATGTGTATGAACAAGCTCAGTTGTTACGTGCAGTGGAAACCCGAAAGGGAGAAAATCACGGGACTTTTTAGGCTAATGTCCAAGTCCTCTCAATTCTCATTAGGCTCTCCTCACCATTACATTATTATACAAGCTTGAGGCTCCCATTAATGGAGTATTATCTAATCTAGAGCGCTAAAGGAAGAAGGAAAAAAAGATCCTTTACATGGAGGCTAAGCTCCCTATTTATAGACAAAGGGGAAAGGGTGCTCTCCACCCTAATGGGCCAAACGGGTCAATGTTGGGCCTAATGGGCCGAAATGGACCTAGCTGTTCGGGCTCCGTACTGGATAATGTCTTGGGCTCTTGAGTAGTAATAGGCCGGATAATATATCCCAACAAGAGTTAAATATTTTACGCAGTACTTTGTAAAAAAATTGGCACGACATCTTTCTATGGTACTGTAATGTTCACTTTCAGTCAATTTCGATCATATCTGCTAAGCTTCTACATTTCGTATATTTTATACAAGCTGACATGATTTATTCAAATGAAATTTTCCCAAACACTGTGAGTCTTTTTGGTGACCCTAATTTTTGGGTTATTAAGCTTGTCAGACAACTTTTTTCATCGAACACGTAACTTTTGGAGTTACTTTTCTGCCTTTCTTGGTTGAAGTTACTGTAGATAATCATTTTATTTTTTTTTCATATATTTTTTTCTTTATTTTATTAATAAAATCTATTTTAAATATATTTTGTTCATAAATCAGCAGAATCAAGCAATCCAGTCACTTCAGCCAGAACCTCAAAAGTTTTAGCAGAATCAATCGATACAACCGATTTGGGTATTACCAAACGGGCTCTATATGTATATACTACTAAATCTTAACATTCTTTGCCTATTAGCTGATTATATGTTTTTATTGCAATGTTAATAGTTTCTTAGCAAATCATGTAAGAATATTATGAGGTTACTTCAATCAACGATTCAACACAATCGAAATGTAAATAGGACAAGAACTTTTTGAAGACAAGGCAAATACACGCGCGGGGAGGTGTTCGGCCTAGTGTCCTTTTATGGTGACTAGATTCTTACCCGTGCGATGCACGAGATATTAAAATGTAATAGCGATATGATATTATTTGTAAATATTAAATGGTTGTGTGAAAGGAAGACAAATTGTTATAGGCGTAGCATGCATAATAAATTATAATTAAAAATCGGATAGTGAAAACTCACCCTCGCGATGAACGGGACATAGATTAATTAAGTGATACTCTTATGATACGGGGTGTTATTTTTGTTTAACATTATTAGTAATGTGTAAGTGAATGTAAAGAGTAAATGTAACACACAAACAAAATTTAATTAAGAAAAAGGTAGTTACAAATCATAACTGGTACAAAGTATGTTATGGAATAAGAAGAAATAAAAATTATAATAGGATTCTCGCAGTCTACATATTTTGTAACACTTCTTTATAACCCACGTTCATAGTATGATCGATGTGTTCGTCTTACTCACTGCAAATCAATATTTTCAAACCACTTGAGAAATGAGACGACCAGACAAAATATGAAAAGTAACACATATTAAGGAGGTGTTTGGATCTGATTCTTAAAACTGCTTCTGCTCATTCAGAAGCAGAAGCAGAAGTTGGAGTGTTTAGGTGAAAGTGCAGAAGTGATTCTGGTGCTCTAATTTATTCCTAAAATCAGTTTTTTAAGAAGCCGGGGGTGACCAGCTTCTGAAAACTGATTCTGTTCCTGATTTATAAATGCGACCGTCTCGATTGTTTGTCAATTAATTTGTACTTTTTTTTATTCAAATTGAAGAAAGAAGAAGATAAAATTGAAATATATATTCTTGAGAGGGCAGCACTATGTTATTTTAAAATTATAACGCTCGACATTACAAAGTAGTGGGATAGTAGAGACCGTTTGGCAACACTGTTTTCCGACTTATCAGGCTTATCAGTCAACTTTTTCACCAAACACGTAATTTTTGCTTGCGCGCGCTGAATTGTGTAATAATCAGAAAAAGTAGGGTTGAAGTTACTTTTCTGGCTGTATTGGCTGAAGTTATTGTAGATGACTATTTTAGCTATTTTTACATATACTTTTTTATTTATTTTATTAATAAAATATATTTAAAAAATAATTTTATCTTAAATCCGCAGAATCTGCCAATGTAGTCACTTCAGCCAAATTTTCATAAATTTCAACAGAATCAGCCAAAACAGCCGATTTTGGTGCTACCGAACGGGTTGTAAAACTAATACTCCCTCTGTCTCATTTTATAAAATATCTTTACTATTCACTTGGTCAACACAAATCACTCTTAATATCTTTTTTTATATATCAAAATTTTATGAAATTTGAATTATTTTTTGCAGGTTTTGTAGCGGTTTTAATGTAGTTTCTGAATATGTAATGTTTTTGCTAAAAATAATTTGAGTGCAGAAAGGGATCCGTTTGCTTTATTTTCAGTCAAACATCGTAAACCAAAAAGTATCTTATAATTCGGGATATGCAGTACTAAGTACTACAATATTTAATATTTAATTGTTTCAGATATGCAGCCCAATTAGTTTATTATTCCATCATCCCAGATTCCCAACCCAACTCATATTTCCATTTAAACCCACCCAACTATCAAACCTAAACCAATTGGGCTTGGGGTACACCATTTGGTACACACACCTACACACTATAAATAGGCCCAAAAATTACATTTTTTTTACCCCCTCCCCCACGTGCGATTTCTTTCCCTCCCCTCCCCTCTATTCCCGCAGCTCCTTCCATCCCTCCCCTGTTCGACGTTTTTAATTTCCCTCAGCAGAACAAACCTTACAAAAATGGAATTTCCTGGCTTTGTGAATGAAACTATCATTGATACTACGGTGGACGATTTTTGGGCTGATTGGGCTGAAGCAAACGGTGGTTGTCGACGTGAGGATGAAGGTGAGCGAGAACCGGCGGCGGCCATGGCTGAACGTGATGGACAACCAGATTCGGCGGCTGAACTTGACGGAGAACCGGCCATGGACGACGTCCCTGAGCTTGGTATGAGTTTGTGGTGTTGGTTTCATTGGCTTTGAACTTAAATATATGTTTGTTCTTCACAGACAATTATTTGTGTTTGTGTAGTGTATATAAATTGTCTGTTAGTAAATATACTTATGTCTGTGCGTAAAGTGTATAAATTCTGTGTTCAAAATAATATAAGTTTCATTATGTCTGTGTACATTGAGTTTAAATGTCTGTGTACATATATACTTTTGTCTGTGAGTAAACATACTTATGTCTGTGCGGAAATATACCACTGCGTAAGTACATTTCTGTTTGTAATGTCTGTGTATCAATATTCCTTTGTTTGTGTGTGTATATGCTTCTGTCTGTGCATTAATATACCTCTGCCTGTGTGCTTAAATATACTTACCTCATTGCATGTTGACATGGACACATTGTTTAATCGTTGAATTACGTGAATGTCGATCAGATGGAGCAATTAAGCAAAATGAGAGTGATGATGGTTCTATACAAGCTCCGGATGTCGGTATGCAATTTGATAGCAAAGAAGCGGTGTATGATTTCTACAAGGCATATGGGAAGCGTTTAGGATTTCCCGTAAGAACTAGGAGTACCACGAAACACAAAAATGGAGTAGATATGGTTGGAGTATTACTAGAGTGCTCTCATGCCGGTAGCAGATCTACTAGGTCAAAAAATCAATTGAAGCCTCAACCTTCAATGCAAATGGGATGTGGAGCAAAAATACGAGCACGCACAAATTATGAGGGACTTTGGGAAATTTCAAAAATCTGTCTTGAGCATAACCATCCCATGAGTCCAACTAAGGCTCGCCTATTCCGGTGCTATCGGACTTTGACTCCCCAAGCAATGAGGCAAGTTGCAATCAACGATGTGGCCGGAATACGACTTCATAAAACTTTCAATGCAGCCGTTGTTGAAGCCGGTGGGTATGACCAACTTCCTTTTATTGAAAAAGATTGTAGGAACTACATTGAAAAGGTAAGACAACTTAGGTTAGGGAGTGGTGATGCCATGGCACTTCAAGAGTTTTTTTCTAAAATGCAAGCTCAAAGCCCCGGATTTTTCTATGTCCTTGACTTAGATGACGAGTCCCGATTGCGTAATGTGTTTTGGGCCGACAGTCGATGTAGATATGCATACAAAGACTTTGGAGATGTGATCACCTTTGACACAACCTACCTCACGAATCGGTATGACATGCCTTTTGCACCATTTGTAGGTGTAAATCACCACGGACAATCAAGTTTGCTAGGTTGCGGATTAATCTCTAATGAAGATACGCAAACATTCGTATGGCTATTCACCGCATGGCTTGAGTGTATGGAAGGCCGTGCTCCGATGGGCATTATTACGGATCAAGACCGTGCAATGCAAAACGCCATCCAAATTGTTTTTCCAAATACAAGACACCGATGGTGCCTATGGCATATTATGAAAAAGGTACCGGAAAAAATGGGAGGCATTACAGAAAAAAAAGAAATCTTGGATGCTATTCATGAATCCATTTATGACTCACAATATATTCCACAATTTGAGCAAAGTTGGAATGACATGATACAAAGGTACCCATTATTTCCTTTTAACTATGACCCATTCCAGAAGGTTTTTGTCTGTGAAATAAATATATGTGTTCTTCACAGGCATACAAAATGTACACCACAGACACAAAACTGTCTGTGAGCAAACATTGTATCTTTACTTCATATATATTTTTAATGTTATTTCAGGTATTCCCTGCAAGATCATGAATGGCTTGTAGTCATGTACAATGAAAGACACCGGTGGGTTCCATGCTTCTTAAAGACATTTTTCTGGGCGGGTATGTCTACCACTCAACGAAGTGAAAGTATCAATGCTTTTTTCGATGACTTTGTGCATTCCAAAACTAGTCTTAAGGAATTCGTTGAGCAATACGGACGTGCATTACGAAAAAAGGTAGAAAAAGAATTTCACGCCGATGCGAGTTCGTTTGCAAAAACAATTCCTTGTGTTTCATCATATGAAATGGAAGAACAAGTCCAAGAAATTTACACCCTAGCTAAGTTCAAGGAGTTTCAAGATGAACTTGTAGGTCTTTTGTATTGTGATCTAATACAAAGCGATGGAGATAGAAAATTTCATGTTAAGGAGGTCCGAAAGATAAATGGGTTTCGAAAAACCATTGACTTTGTTGTTGAATATGACCCGTTAACTACGTTTGGAATATGTAGTTGTCATTTATTTGAATTTAGGGGTATTGCATGTAGACACTTGATTGTGGTCTTACGTCGGCTTGGATTGGATTTCTTACCCGAGATTTACCTATTGCAAAGATGGAGGAAAGATGTTAAAAGAGCTTACACAAAGGTGAAAATAAATTATGATGGGTGGATCACAACGGTGGAACAACAACGATTTAATAAGTTGTGCACGACTTTTGAATCACTTGCAAATATGATTGCGGATGATGAAGAGAAGTACCAAAGTGTTCTTAATTGGTTGGAGACTCAATTATCGACATATACTCCTCCCCAAGCTCCTCGGTCTTCCATATGTGGCAACCTAACATCTATCCCACAACCGAGTAGTCATGTGCAATGTGAGGTTTCAAAAAACATAGGAGATCCTAAGTGTGTAAAGCGCAAGGGTGCTCCGAGGAAAAACCGTCAAAAAGGACCATTGGAGAAGGGGAAAAAGAAATCGGGGGCTAGGAACGACATTGGGATTGCCCCACAAGGTATCGCTGACCATGGCAAGGCACGGGAAGATCGTAATGACATGATGAACTACAGTGGTTTAGATTTAAATCTTACCTTGATGTAAATGTGCATGCCTGATTGTTCACAGACATTTATGTAATACGCCACAAACATACATCTTGGTCTTCACAAACAAAATACGTGTTTGTGTGCAATTTTTTTTGTGTTTCAGAAATGTTTTTTTGTAATGTCTGTTTTTGTATAGTTTTTCAAATAAAAGTAATTACATTACAGAAAGTAGTGAAATGTTAGCAATTTATTTTTAAATTTAATAAATTAGTGGAATATTAAATTACATTAAAGTTATTGAATTTAACATTACGCAATTATCTACTTTTGATTACTTTTATTTATTAACATGTTAGATTAGAAATATTTAAATTCTAAAGTAAGTCATAATTAATGAAAAAAAACGTGATTTATTTTATTCCCCTATCTTATACAAATTTCAACAATTCCTTATTTTTGCCGAAGTCATACCAATTTTCTTCTTCACAAGCAAAATCATCCTCCGTAATATATATAAATATATTGCCACAAAAACCAAACGTAATTGTATGCCACCATTTCTGGTAATCCTTGGGAGTACATTCTAGGACGTTGTACAACATTTATAGTGTAACATTGTAGAACCTCCTACATTTAACAACCAAATCCATGTAGGCCAAAATTGAGCATAATAAAATGTATACAGTAATGTTACATAATTGTTTCACAACCAAACACATCCTCCAAACATCCTGTCTAACTCGACCGCTTCCTCAAACTCCAAAGCCTCATTGCGAATTCACATCTTTTTAATGCCATGTTGTCATAAGCACACCCGGGCAGTAATGGCAACTTCTGCAAGAGTGCTTCGGCAAAGGCCATAACCATGACGCCGCAAACACCGGAACTGGACAAAAAACAATGAATACAGACATTACATTTGCCTGCACAGAAAAACTATATTTGTGTACAGACAAAATAATATCCACAACACATGAATGTACCCGGGTTGCTGTTGTGGAACATCGTCCACTGCCTCCGCTCTCCAAGTTTGTGAATCTGCTGTGGCGCTAAGAGCGGGGTTGCATTTTATGACTCGAAACAGGTGTGGAAGTCTCACACACAACAGCCTCACACATCCAACTAACCTACGGGTCTTCATAGAATCGTATACCCGTACGATTCTATTGACAAGGTCAATTTCAGACAGCACCCAATGTTTGCCATCACTGTGCAACGGCATGAACACCTGCACAGTCAATAAAGTAGTTAAAATATTAGTGAACAAACCTTCAACACCACTATAGTAACTCAAAGAATTACAAACATTTAGGGACGGAGGGAGTATGAAATTTTAGAAAATCACATGTGAATAACTAAATGTGCTTATCATTTGTTCTATTTGATTAAATATCAGACCACATAATCTGGACTATTACATTATTTTTGGTTGATGAGTATACTAATGAGGCCTTTGGAACTGGTTTCAGCTGTTCATTTATGGTATTGGGTACACGGTTTATTCACTTAACCAGAGTAAGCTAACACCACTACTTAACTAGAGTATTTATAAAGTAGTTAATATTTTGCATTAATAGGTACGTAAATATATAAAAAATGACATAATATTTTATTATTTTGGAGACAAACCTTTTCATACCGGCTCCAGTCCATTTTGTTAAGGAATCGATCCCCACTCCATTGTGAATCATCAGCTACATTCTTCCGTAAAAGTTGGTACTACAGCAAAAACAAAATTACAGACGAAACAAGTACTACACAGACAATACTTTATCAATGCACAGACAAGTAGAGTTCAAAAGCACAGACACAATTTAGTTATTACTAACTTACCGCGAACAAAGGACTCAAGAGTTCATAGGCCTCGTCATGAATGCATTCGCGAAACATAAGAACAAGTGCATCCAAATGCTTAAAAAAAAGATTATCAAAGCCTAAAAAAACCATTCAACTAAAATATTGTAAAATGACATTATATATATATATTGACTCACCTGGCTGCTTAGCCATCCGGTTTCATCAATCAGTTCTCGGAAGAAGGCCCTATTTGTCGGGTAAGATGATGGGATAGCTATCTCAATTACGCACGGTTCTACCTCATCATCTTCCTCCACCCATGCCTTGAAGGATTGACATTCTTCGTCACTTTGTTGTAGTTGCGCTCGGGTTATGGTGCCTCCAACCTTAGGCCTCTTTGCGGCGGGAGCTATGAATGGGCTGCAAATGTACTTCGATGGCAACCTCTTTCTCTTTCTCACTTCTTTCATACTAGCTTCTTCGAGGGCCATCATGTCTACACCGCCGGTTGCAACTTCATCACCAAGGTCCCAATCCAAGTTTGCTAAAGGAGCGTGAGGTGTCAAAGCAAAGTCATCTCCCACCTGTAAAAAACATTAAAAGCCCGGGATCATATATACACACACACAAATAAATGTCGGTGAGGACAAGTTTACTATGCCTGTGCACTTAATGTATAATGTATGTGTGAAATACATACTGTCTGTGAATATAAACAAATTTTACAAATGACAATGTTAATTTCATTCAAGCATATAAAAAGATCTGTGGGAATGGGACAGTCCCCATACATGTGTTCTTCATTGTACTTCTTTTTGCTGCTGCTTTTGCAATTTAATAAAAGCAATACCAAAAATAAGAATGTTCAAAAACTTGCCTCAGTTGCGACATGCACAATACGGTCAGTATACATATTCTGATCTTCAGGAAGAACAGGACAAGAATTCTTCCCTTCAGCCTAACCATTAGGTGTTTGACAGACATTTATTACTTATACACGGACAAGACGAAATGTGCATAGGCATAATACATTGCTACATACAGACACTAAAAAGAGCACACAAACAATTACAGTTTATACGTTTTGGTAAGAGTATCATTCATTTGGAAAGAATAAAACAAAAAACCTTATGATAGAAAACTACATACCGCGGTCCCTGCATTCTCAACACCATGAGTAGACATCCTTTGAACTTCAACAGGTGTTGTACAAACTTCTGTTTCTTCTCCGTGCTGACTTGGGCCATATGGATTCCCCTTACAAACCAACATAAATATATATAAATATATATATATATATATATATATATATATATATATATATATTTATATAATGAGTATGAAGATTGTTAGTACGGTATGTCTTACAGTATATTTACTAAATATTTACTAAATGTACTATATATTTACTAAATACAATATGTCTTATAATGAGTATGAAGATTGTTAAGTTGGTTAGATCACACTTTTAGCATACATTTGAGCCAATAAATATGTGATGAAAAAAATGTCAGTAAATACACACTTGGTTATATATATATATATATATATATATATATATATATATATATATATATATATATATATATATATATATATATATTTAGACTACATACAAACAAAAATGTACTAAATACAGACAAAGCAAATCATTGCACAGACAAGTGATGTTTAAACCTTTTCCTGTAAAGCCTTGTTGACTGTATCAATAACCTTAACCAGTAAGTTTTTCAGTTCACCAAGCTCCTCGTCCACTTTTTTTTCCAACCTTTGAACACTGATTTTTATCTCATCAATATTTGAACACATTTCTTCAACCTTTTCCTTTGTTTCAAGTTCAATATTGTCATGTTCACCTTCGTCTTCATCATCAGAATTAGGGGGTGTAGGCACCTCCTACGAAAACATGAACATGATTTCATATTATAAATATATATATATTAGTGGACAATTATAATGATAAACTAGGAATGATAAAGTAAGAAGACTTACATCAGCAAAGACTAGTTTCCGTATCTTAGATGACCGGAATTTGCCATGACATGTCCAATTTAGTATTGGGACTTCATCATTCCCAACACGTGTGCCAAAGTGTTCCCCAAATTTTGGAATTCTTTCATATGCCCACACCTAAATACGACGTTTAGTGAAGAAATTTATATTATGGGAAGTATAGAGCATTGTGAAAATATAAAACATATAGAGCAGATGTATGTTTGTGAGCATTTAAAACTCTGTCTGGGAAGTACACAGAGTGTTTGTGACCATTGAAAAATATGTCTGGGACGGATAAAATACAAAATCAAACTTAATAAAATGGCGATCATACCTGTAAGACCAATATGAACCCGTAGATGGAAAACTTGGCATTTTTGTACTCAGGGTTGTTAGTTTTACTGTCAACAAACTTCATTGGATGCCCATCAAGAAGACGTTTGACATGTGTGACAAGCAAATCATATGCATCTCTCGACCAGGGCTCCTTCTTGAACTCTTCAAAGTCATTCACAAGCTGAATAGACTTCCGGCTGATCCTAGTTGTCCTATCTTTTCCCAACAGTACATTCTCAACTACAAAGAGGGATGCAAGCTTCACTGGTAGGTCACCTTTCCTTTTTTTACCTCCCCGTACTTCATCAACCTTGTCCTTCATCATCTGGAAAGTGATATCCAGTGATCCACCAAAGTAGGTCTTCGAAATCTCCTCAGGTTCTTCCTCATCTTCAGCGTCTTCATCATCTTTTTCAGTATCTTCGGCAACGGCAGGCCTGGGGGCTGCCGGAGGTAAGCCTGTGATGCGGCAGAAATCGTTGTATGTGAATTCTTCTATTTTGCCCACTATGTTGAACCAGAGCTCATCTTTGGGTTGTTGCTTGACCATACGTAACAACAACATGTGCACGATTTGGGCACAAAACTGAATATCAGGTATGTCAGCAAAATGACCCCATGGTGTCTTCCGAAACTGTGCCATTTGTTGTTTGGAAAGCATGTCCTTCACGTACTTGGAAACATGTTTGACATCCGAGCACATAGAGTACTGCGCAGGGAAATGCTTGCTCAATGGGATCTGGAGTTCAAGTGCCCTATGAGTGTAACAGAACAAACCATAAGCACACAGACATATGTTAAACCACACAGACAAACATTCAGTTATAAACAGACACACAATCAGTCACACAGACATATGTAAAAAAACTTTTGTTTAACTTTATGTTGAAAATAAGTAGACTCAGTGTATTTTAATTATATTTTAATAAGTGAATTGAATTTTAAGAACTATCTTTCAAGGAAGATATTGTCTGAACCTATTTCATTTAAAATTATATTAATGATTGATGATTTATCTATGTTTATTCATTTTACTGCCTGGTGACATGAAGCAGTTATTAGAATAAGTGAATCTAACAAAATCACGAGTGGACATAGTGAAATATATTGACTATTCATTGTGTTTTAATGCTTCAAAATGATGATTGTTCCAAATTTGGTAATTTAATCAACTGTAGTTTCTACTAGTCCTTGTTTAGAAATATTAGTATTACTCAATTAAGTGAAAAAGAGTAAGAAACTTATGGAGGATTAATTGGCACATCAAAATGAAGAACAGAGCAAATTTACACAAGAGTTATACTTTAGAACTGTTTTATTGTCTTGCATTCAGGCACAATAAAGTCCCCACAGACATATACAGAGCCATACAGACAATCATATAAGTCTTCACGGACAAATGGAGGCACATCCTTTTACATATAAGTTCACACAGACAAATACTTTGACAAATCGATCTTCACAGACAATACATATGTCCTTCAACAGGCATAAAATTCCCCTTACACAGACAATAGTTATTGTTCAAAATCCAAGCAATAGATGGGTTCCAAAACTTCACAAACAGAGATATTTTGCTTCACCCTCCAAATTAATATCATCAAATAGCCTAAAATTGTAAAAAAATTAGAGGATACATACCTTTCGGCCATGGTTGCAAGAGGAGTTCGCACCATTTTCGACTCAGAGGGGGAGGAGGATTCGGACCTTGTATGTGCAGCGATTAAGGTCGCCTTTGACGGGGGCTGGCGTGGAGGAGTCTGGCGTTCGACGGAGGGTTGGCAGGATGCCTTCGACGGGGGTTGCAGGGGACGAGGCTAGTCTTCGGGGTTGCTAGGGACGACAGTTGGCTTCGTCGGGAGGTTGGGCAGTTCGAAGGTTGGGCAGCGACGGCCAGCGACGGGGAAGGTTGGGCAGTTCGAAGACGTTCCAGCAACGCAAGGACGAAGCAAAATTGATCGGAGGAAGAAGGGGGGAGATTGGGCAGTTCGAAGGAATGGAGAAGGGGGGATGCGCGAAAATTGAAAATCGGGAGGAAGTATCGCACGTGTGAAAGGGATGGAAAGGGGGTAATTTTTTTTTTAGGTATTTATAGTGTGTATGTGTGTGTAGAGAAAGTGTGTAACAATAGAAAAATTGAACCTAAACACCACTATATATTCATCTTATTTCCTACCGCCGTTTCTTTCATCCGTACACAGCAAACCCCCACCAGACCATATGACAGCCTCTCGCTATTTCCTCTCGTTTTCTTCTCAAATTCATACGGTTGTTGTTGGTTCGGCCCTTATCTGACGATATCAAAGCCAATCCTATTGTCCTCTTATTCAGTTCCTTATCTGATCATCTGAATGTTTACAGTCGCTGAGAGCAAATCGATGGTCCGGACCATAACTTAAAGCCTTCTGTTTTGGGTATCTCCTTTACATCTTTGTCTTTAATTTTTTTTTGGATGTATATCTTTTATTATGTTTGTATGAGGTTTGAACTTGGTTTTTTCGAAAATGGTTTTCAATTTACTATGAAAAATTTTACCATGTTTGTCCGGTTGATTATTTTAAGACAATTCCAATTATCTGGATCTATTTTGCCCTAGTATAGTTCTATTGACATTTCAGATGTTTATATGTTTTTATTAACACAGATACTCAAAATTTGATAAATATGGCCGGAAGAGTAAATATGCATGGCATAAGTGACACATGTATACTCATATATCTTGAAAGTAAGATATGTAGTACCTATGTCACACATTCTACTTGATTCAGAATTTTAAAAGCATAACTGTTTGGGTGTTCATCAAAGCATAGCTATTTTAAAAGCATCCACTTGTTAAAGACGTGCATCTTTAACAAATTTATGTAATAGACTTAATCTGTATTATTTTAACTGTACTATAAACATTGTCAACAGATTTACTTAACCTATATATTTTTACTTATGAAAATATAAATCTACCAAGATCTTTGAATAGTATAAACGTGTGAAAATGATGTATACCCATTGTTTTTTAAATGCAAACAATGGTGAAATTCTTGATTTAACATACTATGTATTTTGTGATAAATAATGTATACGTTTAACCATGTGTATGCCTTATTCTATGATATTTAATGATACATGGTTCCAAGTGTCATCTATTATGTGATATGTTGGACATGTACACCAACTCATCTTAAAGATGTTGTCATGTGATAAATTCTAATATTTTTTTATAAGGCAGGAGTTTTCTTTCTCATGTTTTTGAAAATTTATTTAAGCATTTTTTAGTTGGTGATATAAAGCTTCTATAAACTTCAGTTGCCACGTTAAACTTTTATAAAGCCACAGTTAAAATCTCAGGTATGATCCTCATCCCCTATTTCTTCAGGTCTTACAGACGGATTGTTTCTAAAAACATTTCTGAATTTGTAATGTTGGAAACAAATCATCCTCTTTTAATCATAAATCATCCTTTTTTTAATAATTCAGTAATATAAGAAAGTTGCTATAACTAACTTGATTAAGAGAACATATTTACTTCAAAGTATGCCCCACACAGACCATTCGTGTTATACAAATTATTTGAGCTTTGCAAATCTAGAATTTGTAAAATTAATCTATAATTTGAATTCCATTTTCCCAAGAATGCTACACATTTTCCCACAATCTGGCCAAGCCCAATTAGATTCGTGTTTGTCAAACTGAGGATTGTTGTTTTCAATAAGCTCATTTTCTGGTCTTATGCCAACAATAACTTTTACATATATTTTTTAGACTTCACCCTAAAGTATGTAATCTTAAAATTAACAACTCCAGGATATTACCTTGGTAGAGTTTTATGCATTCACAGTAGACATTTTTATAAAAATTGCTTCTGCCTCCTACTAAAACATATTTATAAAAATATTTATACAATCAACGTTTTTTATTCACTTTCATCTTATTCACCATAAAACTTGCAGGTTTCGTTGGCCATGATGTCTTGTTCTTATTTCCAGTTATTAGATTATCGAATAGAAAATGTATAATTAATAGGTTCTGGGACCTTAATAAGGTTGCCAATCATGTAATATTTATAAGAAAAGTGTAATTAGTAATTAGATTAAAGTAGGATATGCAGGTTCAAAGTTTGCACAACTTCAAAGGCAGGTATGAATCTTATGAGGATATCATTTTTTTTCCAGTAGCTCTTATTTGCTGAAAATATTTTCTAGGCTAATCATCTAACACTAAAATCTCAATACAATTTGATAACACATGTGACCATTTTCCAGAATCTTACACTGATGAAACCTGTGTTTTCTCATAATGTCAAAAAGAAAAACAAACCTTAAATGCACACATAAATTCTATTTGCATAATTTTCATAAACAGGTTTAAGCAGATGATATACCTATTTTCATAATGCAAAACAGCTTGTCTTGTATTTCTAAATGCTTAAACTGTATTTTGTGTGATTAATGTCTTTGATTCAAGACCACATCCCTGTTGAGGAAGAATGGAATTGCTTGCTTGTGGTGTGTTTTGAGCTCCCCCAACTTGGGTATTTATAGGGCATGGTGATGCCTAAGGTGAATCAATTGGGTATTAACCAAGGGTCAAAGGACCCACTCAATCTTTACATTGAGATTATGTAGTAGAATGCATTTATTGTTTGTGAGGCTCAAGAAATGATTGTGTGGCTCCATTTATTGTTCAGAACTATCAAGTACAACGCTTTAAATATTTTTGAGGCTCAATGCTGCAATATGATTTCATTGTGATCCATATGTTAAAAAGGACAACTTAAAATCTTTTTTAAGTTCTAAAAGCAGATTGCAGGAGCGTGAACCGTGCATTAAGATGATTATATATGTACTATATCAACTATCAAGCACAATGCATTTAATGTTTTTGAGGCTCAATGTTAAAAAGTACAAATTAGGTTATTTTATTTTCATTTAAAGCAGAACTATACGAACTGGAAGAGAGAAGCAGTTGTACTCATTGAGACTTTTCCATGTGCCATTAATGAATTATCTTGAGCCACACAATTGAACATTGGAGATTGAACCATCATTAAAGCACTTCATTGGGCTGCCTGCAGACCCATTTCTGAACCCATGGACATCCTGACCCTATGAAGATCCGACCCGAACCACTTGATGTGATGTTTTTGAGCGGGAATACTGTTCATTTTTTCTTTTGGCTTTGTATAATAGAAGATTATACTTTTTTCTTTTCAATTATGATAGATGATCGAGATTAACTATTTAACTAATTTGATCACTTATCAACAATCAATGGCATTAAATTTAAAAGGTACAGAGTAATAGATTATGCTAGCAGATAGACTAATACTTCGTTCTTCTCATAGTTCATAATTCCAGGGTAATTGAAGAGGGAAAATGACACACGTAACTCCTGAATCCAGATCAATAATGATGATAAGGTATCCAAAAAATGAGACTTTTACATTTGGAATGATAAGCACCTGATTATATTTAAATAGAAGACGGTGATGTGCATAGAATGATGCCAAATTGCTAATGTTCATTAATTGAAGGGTGAAGGAGGCACAGTGAAACAAATATGACTAATTAAGGTTGGGTGATGTTTTAACGGAGTCATAGTAAACAAAAACAGTCGAGTGGCTGATGGATACAAAACGGTAGGTTAAGGTGCTTTTCTGTTCGTCTTATTCTTATTACTTATTGCTTATTCTTGTTTTATTCAGATCAGATCAGAAAAATTCAGATCAGATTAGATCAGAAAGATTCAGATCAGATCAGATCAAATCAGAATCATTCAGACCAGATCAGAAAGATTCAAATCAGATCAGATCAAAAAATTCCAAACATGATTTATCACTTTTATTATTATAAAATAATAATAATAATATTAATAATAATAATAATAATAAAAACAATAATTATTACTATTATGATGATTATTATTATTATTGTTGTTGTTGTTGTTGTTTTTATTGATGTTATTATTATTGTTATTATTTTTATTGCTATTATTGCTATTATTACTATTATCAATACTATTATAACTATTTTTACTATTATAATTATTATTATTATTACTCCATATTATTATAATTATTATTATTATTATTATTATTATTGTTGTTGTTGTTGTTGTTGTTGTTGTTGTTGTTGTTGTTATTGTTATTGTTATTATTATTATTATTATTATTATTATTATTATTATTATTATTATTATTATTATTATTATTATTATTATTATTATTATTATTATTATTATTATTATTATTATTATTATTATTATTATTATTATTATTATTATTATTATTATTATTATTATTATTATTATTATTATTATTATTATTATTATTATTATTATTATTATTATTATTATTATTATTATTATTATTATTATTATTATTATTATTATTATTATTATTATTATTATTATTATTATTATTATTATTATTATTATTATTATTATTATTATTATTATTATTATTATTATTATTATTATTATTATTATTATTATTATTATTATTATTATTATTATTATTATTATTATTATTATTATTATTATTATTATTATTATTATTATTATTATTATTATTATTATTATTATTATTATTATTATTATTATTATTATTATTATTATTATTATTATTATTATTATTATTATTATTATTATTATTATTATTATTATTATTATTATTATTATTATTATCCAGAGTAAATATAATTATAGTTAGAATTATAATTATAGATATAATTATAATTAAAATATAATTACAATTATAATTATATATATAATTATAATCAGTGTAGTAGGTATAATTTTTTATAACTTTAATTATAATTATGATTATAATTATAATTAAATATTTTTAGAATTGTGACTATAAT